TTACATTGTTAATAATATCAGGATAGCCCCATTAGATCCGCACTTTTTTGCTCAATATTTAGACATAGATCAGTCTTCTTTTTGGAGCCTTCCAAGACAGTGGCATTGGAAATTCGCCCGAGGTTCGCCGAACAACGTCAGAGGCTACGGCGAAGATCGACTCTTATCTCCTTCTTGTGGTGCAGGACGTAAGATGTCACTGAAGCCATGTTCATCCATGCACAACTTGATGCGTCTTCTCATTGTTTTCCTTTTTATTTTCAGCCGTACAGCGGTTGATACCTCCAACTTGATCGATCCATTGTACAAGGAATCAGAATTCGGTCATGAGGTACAAGTCGCACGATCGATCTGCAATTGGACCTGAGCCACTGGGGAAAATGATGGAATTCAGACGCGTGGAGCCCTTACCAGAATCCAATATATTCAAGTGTCGCGGAGTTTTTGACGGTACGAGGCCCTATCCAGCCATGATGATGTCATATATTTTATTCTCTTCTGTAATAGTCTTAGATTACAGATCATGAAAACCCTTCATGATAGAGCTTGCCATGCTATCGCAATATATCGTATCAAATATTAGCTTTGATCGCTATCATCACACATCTATGGAAAAATATAATCTGTTCAAATCAACGGTGGTAAACTCTTGTATGAACATTAATTGCTCGCCCAATACCAAGTGGAATAATTGAGAGAAATCCCTTTTTTCTAATATCCCTACCTCAAAAGGTATTTATCTCTTGCATTTTGAGTTTATGGGATCCATCGTCATTACCACGGCTCCAAGAGAGCCAGCCTCGAGGTTTGCTGCAAGATTATAAAAAAACTCAACCGAAATTCCAGTAAGCACATTAATCCAAAATCTACAACAATTTGAAACTCTTCTTGCCAGCGTACAATTTGTACATTCATATGAAGATGCCTTGTCCACCTTGTATCAACCGATACACTTTTGGAGTCCATGCCATATACACACTTGATCAAGACACAATAAAAGGATAAGTACCTCATAGAGTCACATTTTGCGATTGAATCTAGGCAGGCTCAATAAGTCCAATCTTCTTTAAACGTTGGGGAAAATTGATGAACAATACAAATTCAAGTTGTGAGCCCAGCGGCACCAGCATGCGCCAAGAGAAGCTCACTAAACTTCAAATACAAGCATCAAAGCACCGAAAGAAAAGTTATAGCACTCTCCGCGGCATGCGCAATACAAGTTTATTAGCTGCTGTCCACTTTCTGAGCGCATGCCGCGAACGAACTTGAGCATTACAAGTCGAGGAGTCATCGATGTGTGGGTTGGATGTTAGAGGCCTCGAGGTCAAGTGGCTGAGGTCCGGAGTGTACAAAGATTGACCTAGCCTAGCCTCAGGCGAGAGCTGTCCAATCTCCGGGGATTTGGTAGTCAGGCCCGCAAAAGTTGAAAGACATCTGCAGGCACGAGAATGCGAAGTTCCCTAATCGATTCTGAGTCACGTTCTTCCGAAATTACGGTGAAGGAACTCAGTTGCCTACAGTCCTTCATACGTGGGGACTTTTGAAAATTCGGCAGCCGCTGGCCATAGCTGCTGCTAGTAGAGGCTGCTAGAAACAATGTACACCCTCGTCAGTTCCGCGCGTGCGGCATATAAAATGTGTTTGTTGCAGTTGGTGTCGAGTCGTCTCTGCTTTCCACATGGCGCGCCTCTGCAAGCATGCCCAGTCGGTCCTTTACGATTTCAGCTCGAGCAAAAACGTGCATTAAAGGTAATAGCCTTGGCTTGATGTCGAGAAAGTGCCCACCTTCTTCTCGATTCTAATATCTGCTTCCCACCATTTCCTTGCAATGTCATGGCCTTGGAGTTTACTTACGGGGCTGAAGAATTGGTGTTAGACACCCACCCATTCGTTCGGGAAATGCCACACTTTCCGTGCCTTGCTTGCTCGCCATTCAAGGTGAATGTCGTACTTTTCCTTTGATTTGCTTCCCCTTCGTCCAACATCGTTTCTCCACGTGTCCTACTTGCTTTCTCGAGCAGTAAGAAGTCACGTCTTTCGAGTCTTCACATAACAGGCTCGACCACTCATCTGCCTAAACGTGGAGAGAACCACTGAAAAAAAACTAATGAATCAAATATAAAATGTTATGACATGGTCGTTGATGGATACTGCAACCTTCCGCCACTGCCATTCATTTCGAGTATCTGCAACATTCTTCGACCAACGCTTGCCGAGCACTCGTTCTACTGACAAACTTGGCAGAATCCAGTTCGACATGGTTTCTGTGTAAAGCATATAATTTTTAAAAAACTTTCTTGAAATAGAAAATGAACGTCAATTATCACATGATCTATAACTATTATAGCAATTTAGATTTTTACATTAAAATGTATTTTATACCTTGGAGATTTTATCAAGTCAGATGATGACTGGAGATAATATTGAATCTCGTTAATTATATTTAATTGCAAGTAAAAATCAGGTTAAATAGTTTTTTAAATACTTCAAAAAACATTACACATCATTGCTTCTCATAATTTTGATAATCTCTTTGAGTTATATACTATAGACGAATTCAGATACAATTTATATGGTCACTATGGTCACTAAACCTGTGCTACCTTCTTGTTTTGTAGCCGCCACTTCAACTAGATGTCTATACCGATTGGTTTTCACCCAAGGCTTTTAGAAACAAGTCAAATGTAACATATTGCTGAGTTCTTCCCGAACTAGATGATTGCTGAGCGGTTGAAGCACTACGATGAGGAACATCTACGTACAAAATCTTTCTTTCTGCACATCGTGGAGAGTCGAGTCCTTCCTCAGAAAGAGGCAAAAACTGCACATGGTATCATTCACTTCGTGATATTTATGCATGTTGAAGCTAGAGATTTTAGCTCTGATTTCACCACCAAGGACAAAGGTGACGGGAGCATCGATATCGGCGGCTTATACGGCTTCGCAGTCAGATCTTCTTGGAATCAGGCATTGTGGATGAGTCCAAGAGCAGCCGATTTTTCAGTCTGATTCAGCAACAGTCGTCACCTTCTGAAAGCCTGGCCGAGTTTCAAATATGTATATTCTACAACTGTACGAAGGATAAGCACCTGAAAAATCTACCCCTGATCATACAGTAATAAGTATCTGTCTCTCGAATCCCTACACGAACTCTGCAAGATGCTACCTGTGATCTCAACTTTACCAACGAAAGCAAGAAGACCCGATCTCCACTTTTCAGGTACGAAGGATTTGAGTACATTTCAGTACAAAGGAACGTGACGGGCAAGGCGCCAACTGTGCACAACAAATGGAGAAAAGCTGCAAAGCATTTCGCATTGCAGCTTCAACAACGCATGACTGGAATGAGATTAGCGAATAAAGCGAGATGAAAGCCGAGAAGCATCTCGGCTTTTGCCCCGCTTTCTGCATCAATCTCATCATAGTCCCAGGCTTACTTTGGGCACGTGCACGTTGCCGTTCTAGTGTGGCAAAGAGTCCAGCCTTGCACCTACGGACAGACTGGCGGCACTCGAGGAAGTCTATAGCTCCAGGTTAGAAGAAGTGCGAGACTCTGGCAAATATCTCTCTCATCCAGGGGGCTGTAAAATTTGTGAAAGTGTTCACAAATGTTTCGGCTGATGAGAAAGTAGGTCAGTCAAATCCAGTGCAAGATCTTACGGACCTATTGCAGAGCTTAGTAGGTGCCTTTCGGCCCTCACAAACTAGCGCATGATCGTGAGCTTTCTCGAGTAGAAAAGATTGCTAGCATCAGATAAACACCGTATTATCGTGGACAGTGTTTTTCATACGCCACTCTCTCTCTCTCTCTCCATCCAATGAATTTACATCTTGATTGCTCAAATAGGAGAACGAGTACTTCGCTGACTTTGTTGGAATTCGTCCGAAGTGCAGCTCTTTCCGTCTTTTCTCACTTAAAACTCGGCAGAGCAATAGAGGTAGCCTTTACCCAACCAGCATGAGTACTATAAAGGATTCTCCACTTTCTGGGACTTTTACATGCACCCAGAAACCCTATCACCTGAGTACAATACACTCTCGGGCTCTAGGACGATACATTATGCTTGTCTACCAAGGCACGTAGATGTAGATAAGCCAGGTGGTGGGTTCAGTCGGAATCATGATCATTGCGTATGACAATGTATTATTCAGATCTCTCTTCAGAAACCTTTTAATTGTGGTCCCTGCGTCGAATTACTCTGGAAGTCAAAGAACAATTTAAGAGCATTGAGAAAATGGAGATACTGCCAACGCCACTTGATATCTTAGAAGATCATGGACACCATGTGCTCGCTGCTACCTTTCGATGACTTTGGCTCACTCATTTTACTGAACCATACTCCCATAAGGTTTAATAATAGAGCGAGAATTTATTACAGTTCTTATTCATCAAACATTACAGTTCTTGTTAAACATCTCCAAACAATCAAGTGCACAGGGAGTAAGATGTGATAGCAAGGTCACAGGTGCATATATGCAACAACTCACTCATTAGCAATGAGTGATTACATAAGTTGTACTTATTAATACGAATGAAATTGGAGTCCTCATGGTAACAAAAACAATGCACTCATTATCTGTTATGTAATTCGAATAGTACTCATTTTCCTGTTCTCTTATAATTTTTTTAATCCTGCTTATATTTGTTTCTCTTATATTTTCAACTGCGAACATCTATGACGTCATGAATAGAAGGAGCGATGACGGTAGGATAGCGAGACGGATCTAAAGGGAAGGTACGGTGTACGATATGTGGCCTCATACAGTCATCGCGGCCACATATTTTAGGGGGGAACGATCTAGTGCGGTAGATTCGCAGGCAAGGGGCCAAAAATCAGAAAATGAAAATCGACTTTCTGAGAGTAGCCCATTGTCAGAGGTAATCCAGATGGTCGACGACCGTGCAAGTCAGCAGAGCCCAATTTACACGTGCTTCGCTTACCGCTGCGGAAATAAATTCCACTATACAGGAGACAGTCAGAGTCAGGTTCAGACATCTTGACCTTCCCACTGATTTCCTTTCCTTCCCTGTCCTGTCCTGTCCTGTCATTCACGAAACCGAGAGCGATTGTGTCAGCACTCGCGCTATTAAAACCTCGCCCTGCTCCTCATTTCTACCACACTCTTCCTTCCACCATCTCCACAATCCTCTCACTCTCTCGCGCTCTCCAAATCTCTGTCATCGTCTCACTCTCCTCCTTTGCAGTCTTCTGATCCTCCTCTTGCTGGAGGAGCTTCTGCTCGAGTTCACGAGATCCTTAGAACGCTAGAGCTGTCCAGGAGCAGGCAGTGCGCTCAATTTGGGCTGCATCGATTGAGCTGCTTGCAGCTTTGCCTTTCTTCAGAAACTTGAACGAGCTTTTTCTGCGGGTTCGGGTGAGCGTCTGATTCGGGGACAAGTTTGGTGCCCTCGTGTGTTTGAGACGAAATTATCGAACCATACTCGCCGAGTCCGTCGACAGGAACTCGGAAGAAACGAAGTCTTTCTGGGCCGACGTCGGGTCTCTCTCTCTCTCTGCGAGAATTAAATTTGGGGAGTCGCTTCGGCAATTTGCGCTTGCGCAGCTCTGATTCCAGTTCTCCGAGAAAGGGCGACGGGAAATTAGATTTTCTCGACGTTCTGGGCTTGAAGGAGGCGTGCGTGAAGGGTCGATTCTGCCAGTGACAAAGTGTAGCGCATTTCATAGCACAGCGGAACATCGCAGGTTGAGTTCGAGGTTGAGGTTGAGGTTGAGATGGCGGTTACGTGCACGCAGAAGTGCGGTTTGGTGTGGCTACTGCTGATTCTGATGGGGTGCACATTGAGAAGATGCGATGGCGCGAGCTTCTCGAAGCAGTACATGAACAGAAGAAGAGCGGGAAACGGCGATGGGGCAAACATTCTGCAGGTCGGGGCCTGGGCTTCGACGGTGCCATCGTACGCATTGAATTGGCCGCAGCACCAGGGCACGACGGAGGATCTGGCCGAAGTGCGAGCGCAGGGCATTTCCACCGGAGAGAACGACATGTTGGCAAGTTGGGCCGACACCTCGGCCGCTGCGTCTGAAGACGAGCTCGACATGGACTACCTCTGGACCGTCACCCATGAGGACATCAAGAAATTCAAGTCCAACCCTTGCGCGCCCGGAAGAGATTGCACGCACTACGAGCAGGCTGGATACGTGTTCAACTCCATGACCTTGTAGAAAGAAAGAACTTCATTCCTCAACACCATCACAGACAGACACATTTCATGATCCGATTCGGGGATAAGGAGCCTTGCGTGCTTGCTACGATGTTCCCTTGATTGTACAGATACGAGTTTTAGTTACGGGTTCCCTTCCATTGTTCATCAATCTGCCGGAAGGGGAGTATCCCTCGGCGCTTACAAGTTTTGATATTAGCCCAGCAGTAGACAATAGACAGTAAGATACAATCTAGAGCCCTTCCGACGTAGAGACAACCTTAGGGATTTGTATGTACGAACACCATTTATCGAAGGTGATGTTTTCTTTCCGGAGATGTAGCTCGAGTTTAGAGAAAAGCTCCGAGAAAAGAATAGTCATTCTTATTTTTTGAAAAATTTCTCATCATCTTATGGAGATGCATGCAGCGCAATGAGAGAACTCCAAGAGAGTCAGTCAGTTTGGCCTCACTCTTCTTCTCTTTCTCTTTCGCGTCGCTTTCGATTCCACTCGATTTCATTGACTTTGTCTTTTTGATTTTCTGTGCATCGATTGCTTGTCCCAGTGATCCGCGATTTCCGTTTCCGAAAACGCGTCTAGAGAATGTCTCTTTGTCCAGGAAATTAATTGCCCTCGTGCGTGGATAGAATCGAATGTCGAGTAGCAGCACGGAAATTGCTTCGCATCGACTGATTTCTGGTCTTTGAATGATTGTCGAACGGCACAGAACAATCGCTAGCTTGGTTCTTAGAGTGTGAGTGAGTGAGCTCCGTCGTTTAGGAGGTCAAGAAGTGATTGGATTGAACTTTCGTCGCGTCGAGTGCTAGCGCGAGTCGATCGGACTCTGCGCAGCCAGCGATGGTTAATTTAGGGAAGGCGGCGTTGCTTTTTTCTGGCTTTCGGGAAGTCGGCGCGATGCCGCAGATGGTGCAGGAAGGCGAAAGTGAGCTTCACGTGATTGTGACACGAGGTATAGATTTTATGATCAGACCGACTTTTCGCCCAGAGGCTCCGAGCCCAGAGGTTCCATGGATGTCTCGTGACGGTGTGTGTCAGTCTTTGCCCCTCGGACAGCCTCGCAGACAGAGGCCTCGAGCGTGGTATGAATAATCCATTCCGTCTCCAGAATCCAAGGCCGAATCCAGAGACAAGCACGGAATCTGGACAATTGTGGCGACTCTCCTTGCCACTCCACTCCAATCACTGACGGCGAAGCCCGCCATCTCCGGTTACGCTGTTCGTCTCTCGTGGGCCTCGAGTATCCGACGGCCCAGACCATCGCTCTCGCCATGCTTCGCTTTGGCTCGGGGTTGTGAGAAATTCGAAGGCTCGACAGCGACGGCCATAACAAGACTGCATAACAAGAAGAAGAAGAAGAGGCGGACATCGCGGAGTGGATTAGAAGCATCTGGGTCTGCATGCCTCTGCGGTAGCTTGAGATGCTCGCACCGCTGAACAAAATCTTGCAGCCTCGTCCTCATCATCGTCGTCATGCACCGGCGGCTTGTGGCCGCACACAGACCCCATTCGGTGAACGATCTTTCTTTACGGTGAGCTACTGTGAGCTCAGCGATCTCACAAATGGACGGGCCTGCAGCGATGGCACTTTTCCCGCCGGTCCCTACTCTCGAGTCGGCACCTTTCCAATTTCGATGCGATTCTCGCAGCCGGTCCTCGCTTTGCTTTTCCGAGTGCCTCCAATATTACCCAGTCGGTCAATCACTTTGTGGTAGAAATTAAAATGCTTCTGCTTATTCCCCGGATGGTCGAATTCATCTTGGAAGCTCGTGATTGTAGTCCTATCGCTAGATATTAGACCTCGGTTGATTATTCTCATCAACAGGACTAAGCAGTGAGAAAATCTCGTATGGAAAACGGGGAAGAATTACGTGAAGTGAAGAAGTAAGTCTCTGTAACGAGTCTCGAGCTTGTGCTTCGTGACAGAAGCGAGGAAACTTTCCAAGTGTGAAATGCTCAGACCAGCGATCTTCCTCTTGCTCGTTGTGTCGGAAGGTGGCCCAATTACTGTGTAAGGTATGGCAGAAGATAGGCATCCACATATCTCACAAGTGCTACGAATGTCGTTGAATTTGATAATGCCGAAAGAAGGAATCCTCGTCTGATCGGTCCTGGACAGAACAGCACGGTTGTAACATCCAGATGCGCGAAGCTCGTTCCCGGGGCAGGATCCGCCAAATCATCAGGCTTGCACCGAGGCGATGGAGCCCGTAATTACCTTCCAGATTTGTGGCGAGGGCGAGCAGTGGGCATTTCGTCACAGCAGACCCAGTCCTCCTACTTCGCCATCTTTACCCGCAAAATTTGTCGATGTAGAGCAGCACCTTTTGGGCCCTTGATGTCTTTGAAGTGCTCTGCCTCGGCTAGCCGCGCGAGTCCCAATCGAGCACGAGGAGGTTTACTAGGACTCGATGTCTTGCCCCGAACTCGATGTCTGCCTCCGCTGTCGACCATCTCCTCGTAGACGTCGTCGCTCTTGCGGAGGAGCCTCGATGAGTTCTATGCGATGGCGTTGAGAAGCAAGTACCATGATCAGAATGGTGGTGCTCATCCCTGTGACCAGACAGTCCGTGAAGTCCATGGCGATGGTTCTGGCAGCGCTTTCCCAGTGCTGGGCCATCTCCAGCACCAGTCTGATGCTTTGCTTTGATCCTACACCTGGAGGTGGTAGAGCATTGGTACCAAGCAAGCGTTCTCAGATTTCATACACATCACGGCTATGAAAACCGTGGCGACGGATTGCTGCAGGGCTTCCACCAACAGTGGAAAACCTGATTGATGCTCACCTCGGTGGAGGAAATCCTTTAGGAGCAGCGAGCAGAAGCAAGAGCAACTGGTCGCTGCTGGAATCCATGTTTTACCAGCCCTCTGTTCGAAGCGTACTCTACCATCGATAGAGTATGATCCATTGCGATCGACTTTACTCGATCACCTGCTCTTCTACATCTGCTCTGGCTTCCAGATCAAGCAATTCTCTTCTACCCCGACCGCAAAGCGACTCTCCTGGCAAACATTTTGCTCTAGTTTCACCTTCCTTTCGCAATTGTTCTGTTCTTTCCCGCAATTACCAAAATCATTTTGCCCTGTCACCAAAAATTGATGAGGTCAGTCTCATTAAATCTAACTTCAATCTGAATAGTCACATTCAGTTCTCCGGTAGTATTTTAAAAGGGTCGACAGACGAACATAGGCTGGATAGACTTTATGATCGATTGCCAGAGAGTCTTTCAGGACTGGCCTTCCCCTGCCTCGACCATGGAAGCACGCTTCCTCGTGAAGGCACGACCCTCTCGAGTGATATGAACCAATCTCAGATCCACTTCTGATCACTACCCAAGGGACATGATAGAGACCAGAGTCACCAGATTTCTTCATATCCCGCAGGGCCTGTATCCGCCATGTTACACGGTAAGATCCTGTTATGACAATGAAGCTCATGACTGATTCCATTAAAGCTCATGGATTCGGATGACGGGTCAGCTCGTCAACGCCTTGTTCACTAAGTTCGGAAGAGTGCTACTTGTGCAGCGATGGTCTGGTCGTTGATGCCAACCTTCACAACCGAATGAGTTGATGAAACATATTTCATCCCACGCTGGAATAAGCTCAGACTAGCGTCCAGTGTGGAAACCAGCCTTGACAACCGCACTGTACTGGACGGCGTTCGTGGATCGGGATGGACGATAGGCTCGAGGAAATTGCAGTCTTCACGAAGTTGATGACAATACTGTACTCTCCCATTCTAGTTCACCAGTTAGAGATCACTCAGAAACTGGACATGATGATGGTGCACTGCGCAAAACGTGCACATCGCGAAGGGTTGAATTAATTATGAGTAGTTTACGTTCAGCTCATGTTCCAATCTATATTGAGTGGCGAGGGAGTCGTCTGGAAGGGAGCAGGGCCATCGACTGCTGCAAGTGATGGTTACAAACCTCAATCTTGTGTCCGAGAACAAGCTTTGAGACTTGAGGGAGACTCACTAGTGCATTGTAGCTGAAGCTGGGAGCTGCAAGGGGCATCGCTCCATCGTCGAGATGCTATAGTTGAGGAAGAAGAGCGTGGAAAGGCAGATTCTTTCGAGAGATGGATCTGTCTGGCATGTGTGATCGAAAGAGATAATCTTGAGAAGGTGTGTCCACTGGGATAGAAAAGTCTGTTATTGCGGAGCCTTTACTTGGATTCTCTTGATTTTGAAGTTTAATGTCACAGCTACTACTCTTGACTTTAGAATCAGATCTGGCAGCAACTTGCAGTAGGGCATGCTGCGCATTGCGTTTCGTTCAATTGATGGGCACTACACGGTGGTAACCATTTCTGACACGAGAGATTAGAAGCAAGCAGAAACCAGTCTATTCAAGTTAGCAAATTTATGGAAGAACCGGGCATCCTTGCACCTGTATCATAATAGTCTTTCAAGTACATTTCATTGCCAATAATGAGCTGTGTATTGGTGATTGAGTGTGGGATATTAAAAGTCCATGATTACTCAATGAGGTCATTTTTCGAAATAAATAAATATGTGTATATATATATATATACATATATTTAAACTTTGCTTATAAAGCCCAAGTTCATGACTTGGTCACACAACTGGTTCAATAAGCATGTTCATGATATATTTATATGTCATGCAGATTTCTTAATGCTTTATTTTTAGTAATTTCTATTAAAATAAAAAAAACGTAAAATTGTGTTAGCCATAAATGTAACATCTTATCTCTTCATTTGATTTTTTAAAAATATATAATATCATGAATATCTTCTTTGATGCTTTATTTTAGATGTACTACACAGAAAGTGAAAAAATGATATATGATAATATAAAAAGAAAAATATCAATTTTGTAACCTTCAAAAACCATAATTGAAATGCATTTTGGACGTGGAAATGATGAAAAGAATTTCATCCAGTCGCTTACAATCGATTTTAGAGCTTACATCCTGGTTTGTTCAATCCATGTCATTGTATCCATTATATTCAACTTCACATGTAGAAAATAAATGATTTTGAGATAATTCAAGATGATTCCAAATTCGAATTAAATTCTTCATATTAATATTTTGAATGGAATATTATATATTTATTAATTTTTTATTAATTTTTTTCTGTATTATATAGATGCTAGAATATATTAAGTGATATAGAATATTCGTTTACCAATATATATGAATTATCTTTTGTTTGTATATAAGAACATGACCATATTTTCAACATGTTATAATGCCAAGAAATCTAATACGTATGATGTGATTAAAACATAAATACATAAAAATAATAAAATAATAATAGAAATTTGCGGGTGATTTCAAAAACATCACAACTTTTATGAATAACGATTTGGACATTATTACTACAAGCTGTTCTACTTATGAGGACAGCTTGATGAGATGTGACGGAATTTCCTTTAGTCTTTCTTCCGACAGTACCCGGTCACGTAAGAAAGGGGTGCACTTGCACTTTCAACAACTCCTTCAGTCTAAACACTGACCTCAATAGCTCCAAATCCGCTCTCACGATTTCTTGGACATTTGTGGCTTTAGCTGTTCTATGGTCTATTTATCGGAACAATGTCGGCAATCTACTTTCTCCTTCCTTCAAGCCCTTCATAAATTGGCATCATAACCCATGGGATATTATTGTGAATCGGGTTTCTGAAATCTTGGCCATATGTCACATCCGATGTGAGTTCTTAAACGCTGACTCTATCCATGTCAACACGTTATTAAGATATGCCAGTGTCACAGAAAGAACATTCAATACATCATTGCTTCATGGAACATGACATTATAAACACAGTCACACTCATTGCATGACCGAAATAATTCGAATGATATACCTCTCCATCTGTGTCTTGTAAAGAATATATAAATGCGAACTTTGTGATAAACACCAATTTTGGATATGACAATGAAAACAACTTTAGTCAACAGGATTATTGTGGGAAACATCGCAAACTGATTAATTTTTGTCTTATTTCCGTGACTTTGCAAAGACAAAGCAATGTAAACGTTTTCATATAATATAATCAATAGATATATAAATGAAGCGGTGGCCAAGTAAAGGAAATTATGATTTTAATTGGTTACCGGAGATTATGCATGAATAAAGATCAAAAAGTGCTCAAGACAAAATGTGTTTTCTAGGTCAAGAATAACAACCACCAGGATTTCCTCAAGGCAATCACAGAATCTCTGACAGCGTATCACACTCCATGAAACACGATGTCCTTCGATAACGAGGTCCAATGACACGAGGGTCAGTTGTCATCAGGTTCAAGAAGGAAAATGAACCCAGTACAGGGCCGTCACCACTCTACCCAATCAAGGCCGAATCTGATAAGAAAAGACCGATTCGATGATATCCAAAGTGCCTCCAATGATAAGGACGCCCGTCGATGGGGTTATTCTGGTCTTGGGGATAAGTCTGATTGTCACACCCTGTCATGAGTCTCTTCTGCCGTCTCAACCCCGGGGCAACATGGCAGGCAGAGTGCAGTGTGGATGCTGTGAGACCTGATAACCCCGACGTTTGCTGAAGAGTAGGAGGCCGAATTCGTGGCGAGGCGTGGAGGGCCACTGGAGCCAGAGGGACCCACGCGAGGAGGTCCTGCAACCCTGTGTCTCCATCATTAGAGCATTATTTGCAGAGTAGGAACGGGATGTTTCGATCTCGATCTCTGGATGAAAACAAGGTACCAGCACCTGCCTGACACGGAACAAAGAGAACTCTGCAGAGGCTTAGTCTCTGCAGAGCAATCGGAGGGAATCGACATCACTAATAATCCTCTGGACGCAACATGGGCAGCCATACTTTGTCCGTTAACATCGTGTCAGCTCCTGCGTGCGTAGGAGAGAACAATTTCCACCGGATGCTTGTTGACGAGCGACGGGGAACAGTTACGTCCTTAAACGACGATGTTTATCCATCGGATTTCCTCCCATTTGACATGAACATTAGCAGGGTTCCCCTTACGATTGACAAAACTCCACCAACTCCGATTGGAACGGCAGTGCCCTCGCTTGGCTCAGGTGTGAGAAGCAGTTGCCTCGTGGGAATCCCGCCGAGGTCTGAAGAGACTTCAAGGCTGGCAGACTGTCCCACCGCGGGCCAAGACTCGACTCCGAAGCTTTTGCTGGCTATCGGAGTTAATGATGAGCTGGAGACGACACCGAACTCGTAATCCACCTTATTGGTACGATACCCAATCGCAATGGTGGAAAACCACTCCCAATCACAGCAAAGTCTGCAAGAAGTTTCGAGTAAAGGTCTGGAAGACATTTAGCCCACGTAAATCTCTAGTGCTCGATGTTTCTGGTCTCGTGTCTGTCTATCCAGTGTACAAAATCGATAATATGATATTTTAGTACCAAAGCTAGCCTCGCAAACGAGAGAAATCGTGTCATTTCGAGACAAGGTGAGTATACCGATGCGCACTCGGTGGGACAGGACATATTTCTTTCAAACCTGGCAATGGACCAAAGCATTATTATTTAATTTTTGGCAATATGCAGAGTACAGCGCTGACTACTAATTTCTAGTGTTTATAGGCGACAAGCGCAATGTAAATCCTGGCAAAAAAATTCATGAAACTCCTCTAATTTTCTAGGGTACGCGAAAGGCCCGGAAGAACCCTAAATATTGTGAGTTAAAACCAGTTACGAGTAACTGGTCGGCATCGACCAAAAGTAGACCGCCACCATAGGACCAAAATCTCGTCCAATCCTCCCATCATGTGGAAGCTGTAACCCAGGGTGCTCCCTTCAAGAAGGTCAATGAGTAGTGCAATTCGGCAGTGTCAAGTCGCAATGGCACATCCTTTGACAAAGAAATCCATCGGAAGCAATGTCCCGTATCTGGTCGATGCAACCACAATGGTGTGGCGTCAAAAACTACAACCAGCGTTCTAGGATGTCGAAAGCACACGCGTAGTAGCATCGAAGTTGGGTCAAGGCGCCAATAAACGCCTTCACCCCCGCTGCCATGTCAGGAAGAGATGGGAAGAGAGTGGATGCAAATGAAGAATATTCCCCAGCTTTCCCAGCGCGGCCTTTCAGTGCTGAAAATCTGGAGCTCCACCAGACCTTGTCATCACGTGAGATGCCTCGGCGATACTAACGACATGGACATGCTCACCTTTACAATCTAAGAAGCACCCTTTATTGATTCTGCAAAGTAAACTAGTCTACAGCCACAGGACCTAGTTTTTGGGTTAATACTAGAGCCACTATGCCACTATTCCATTTGCAGTTACGGCAAATGTGACAACAAAATCCCTTGCACGATAAAAAAATATGGAAACGCCAAGTGGAGTCTCAACAACTATATAATCTTACACTACTCATCGTCCTTGATGATGGAATTCCAATGACTCAACCGTGGAACACTTGTCTTCATAAACTCAAAGAGAACCAGACAACAAAGCCTTGTAGGTGGTAACTCGCCCTCATGTAGACAAACTGTACAAATATGCCTTAGTAAGCCGTCCCATTCTCTATTAGATTGATATTCCCTCTTGATGAATCAGCGAATTCAGCAAAGACCAGCGTTGTCAAAACATATATGAGCTCCTCCGCTTAGGCTTCGGCGTTCGCTAGTCCCGTTTTCAAGGCAGGGGTCTTGGAGAGCTGGCTGTAGTTGCCCTTTTCCTTGAAAAGCTGAGAGTAGTGGTGCTTGCAGTAAAGTCTGCCTTCCAGAGCAGCGTAATTCGAAGGGCTAATGACACAGCCCCCATGAACACATTTGAAGCAGCTCTTGTGGTACGTAAACTGGTCAACGCTGACCTGCAAACAGCACACGCATTTTCAGCAACGGACCAGGTGCCCACCCAGATCAAATATCTGCCAGATCCATCCCTAGCAAACACTAGAGGCAATTTACGCCACTCTCGAACAAACCAGAGGAATGCTGAAACATGATTCCATCTCCAACTCCACCTCCAAATGCTTCCGGCTGGCCAAAAGGGTGAGTTTTGCCACAGACAGCACGGGTGTTCAACAAAAACCCCATGACCGTCCCACGCTTTAAGAAGCCTCCAACAACAGGGGCACATCACCCACCACCTTCAATCAGCCTTTCCAGCCCTCTTAACAGACTTCCACCTTCCCTTCAACACATCTCACTTCCGCTTCTAGCCACCACGGTTGAATTCGTACAAATTGCTCCTTCTCATCTTCATCTTCACCTTCAAATTCATCACTACTTGCACTCCATCAACTTCTTCTGTCTGATCACGAAATGGTCCAACTTCCCCACGTCATAGTTCACATCTTCTCACCAATTTCCTTGATCCGACCTAACATTCTTGAGACTCGAGAAACTGACCTTCATCGGCGTTATTTCACCGGGATAACAAATTCGGACTGAGAAAGCAAAAAGAGATGATCATTGACAATAAAACAGCGACGGAGAGGACAGCGCACCTTTTCTAGCGGGTAGACAGTCTTCGAACATGACACACACTTGTCCTGAGTCCCAGAGAACATCGAAGCTAACTTCGAAGAGGTTTTGTGCTGCAAAAAATGCACGTAATCGACAACTCAGTAAGATGTAAGAGCTCGCCGCATTGAGTTATCGAAATTTGACAAGATCGCGAACTAGATTGTCCACCTATGTGCGACGCATACATGAGGATCCTAGACCCCGTGTGATTACGTGTGAATACAGCACACTGGATGTGTCACATTGTAGCGAATTCGATACAATCGTCTTGAGTCCTAAACAGATAACAGAGCTAGTTCCAGCCAGCGGACATACCTCTTCGTTCTTTTCCCCATTGACTGACTTCGCCTTCTGAGTACCTGCAAATTGACCGTCCATGAGAAGAAATTACGGATCAGATCTTAAAATCGGAAATGAAAGTTCAAAAATTAAGAACAAATCGTAAGCTCGCTTGAAAGGAATTCTACACCATCACAACGTAAACGAGACGAGTAAGAAAGTCTACCATCTTGAGAACTCTTCTCGAAACTCCTGCTGTAACTGCCCGTTCGCTTGAAAAGCTGGTTGAAGTGAGGCTTGCAGTACAATACTCCCTCCAATGAAGCATAGTTGCCGAGCTGCAATGTACACGGGAAGTGAAATCCAGTCAGCCAAGGATCACATTTGTAACTGATGCACTCACACAGCAGGATTCAAGGACCAATTCTACCGAGTAACGGCAGGTGGTTTGACTCTTGATGACGAGGATAGTGATCGTCAATTGTTGACGAGTATGCCAATGTCACGTTATGGTTGGATCTTTGATGGGGATGATTGATTCGAACAAGATATCTGGTAAAGTGCGTTAGACTAGTGTCGAGACTGCTGATAGATCCTTGAGTCGCTCAACAGATACAACCTTCAATCTGTGAGATCTATTGTCGGCTATGATGGGACACTCGGAACAGAAACGCATGTCCGGGGAGAAACAAGGAAGAAATCAGGATCTGAAGCCTTTGCAGAAGACTAGATTTCTCACATCACAGGATGGCATCGAGACTATACAGCGCGCTCATGGAGACTGACGAGACGCTGACGTGCATTCATTCACAACCTCTGCACAGCTTACCAAATATGCTGTGATGATTAATCTAGACGTGTGTGAATCAGACGATCATTATGTGATCCAAAAAACAATGAGACTAAAACCAACGGGTCTCCCGCGACTGCGACAGATCGACAGGGAAGAGCATGAATGTGCGCAAAGTCTACTCTTCGCCGGCCTCCAGGCACCAGAAAAAGACAAGCAACGAAGCAGAAGATCTGGCAAATCTCCTGCCCGCGTTTGAAAGCAGAATGCAGCAGAGTTCCCACGCAAAACCAAGAGCGTCAGACGCCATACCTTCAAGGTGCTCTTGCAGTGGTGGCAGCGGAAGCACGCCTTGTGATAGATGATGCCATCGGCGGTCAACTGATCCACTAAATAAACGGTCTTGTCGCAGGCTTTGCACTTCTGCTGTGTTCCAAGAAACGCCATTGTTTACTCTAACTCCGGAACCAATCCGCCGCAGCAAGATTTACACTGTCGCCCCAATTCCTGACTAAACAAACACTACTAATACTACCAAGCCGATATAATCCGTCCACACGTCGTTCCCGAACTCAACTCTCTCGCCCTCTGCGCGCAACTGTATTCCCCACCGCCGCTCTCCGCCCTGCACCGATCGTCTGGCAGCAATCCTCCGCGAGGCGCAGCAAGCAGCAGCAAGCAAGCAGCAGTGAGGCACGAATCAATCAACTACTCGTCCGAGGCTGAAGACTCTCTACTTCACTCAATGCGAGCAAGCAAGCTGAGGAGCGAGCACTGCAATGCCGACCCCCGCGAGCAAGCTTCACTTCAAGCGATGAAGCAAAGAATGGAGCACGAGAGATAAATTGCTGCCTTCCTCTTTTGGCCTAAGAAGAAAAATCCTCACCTCCGCTACGACTCCGCTCCCCGCTCCCTTCTCCCCGCTGCCTGCGACTCGGCCCGCGCCCCCTGGTAAAAACCTCCTCTTCCTGCCTTCTTTTACTCGCCCGATTCACCTCTTTACCCCCCACGGCAGGAGACAGTCGCGCCGAACTCTGTGCACGATCTGCCGCTCCACCCTCCCTTACAGTGCCCGCTCTTCGCTACGAGAACGCGTTTCCTCTTGCTCCCCTCGCTCCCTCCCTCCCTCCCTTCGCCAGTCGTAACCACCGGCTGCCCGTCCCAATCCCTTCCCTTTGTTTGCTTCGCGAACGCGGTTTGTGGGCTTCGCTATGAGAGACGCAGGCAAAGTGTTTGAAATTTATTATAATGTTTATCATAAGACTTCTTGTAAATTTCAATCAAAATTCTTGAATTTTTATTTTCATCAATATTATATTTCAATTTTGAAATTAGAATTAAAACTTTTAATGAATAATTATATATTTTTTAAATTAAATCTGATAAGATTGTGTTGTAAAATTGTGATAATAAATAAAATCTTGCCATTCTAACTATATATATCAAATTGTAATTATTCTTTTGCATTCAGTAATGTTCTCATTAAATTAGATTATCACTCTATTGTTTTGAGCGCGCATCACCAACTTTGTTGTGTGGGGAAGGGCTCTCTCTGCTGCGGCCTAGCAGGACAACTTCGCCTCCCTTGTTGCCAACTTTTTTGTTCGTGGTCGGTCGCTTTTCCTCAGCACTAATGCTAATCTATTCATCCTTTCGGGTGGAAATATGGCATTTGTGATAACACAGGACGGTGGTTTCGGTGTGTCTCTTTCAAATTGGGCACAAGTTCTTGGAATTGGTGTCCAGAGTCGAGAAAAGACATGGATATTATCTCGTGAGGTGAAGAAGCGGCGTCACACTTACTTCAACGGGGGAAGTGCTCGTGCTTTGTAGGTTTCTATGATCAGCTGCATCTCGACCACGAGAAGAAACTCGAACATGAAGTGATTACGAGCTCGATTCAACGCTTTTGCTTTGGCAAAACTCACGGCTTTATTTGTAGTAAAAATTAATGACCACCGCCCTCGTCCCACTTTTGATAGAATGATGATACATGATCCGCTCAAATAATATATATCCTTTAGTACCAAAAGGAAAAGCCGTTTTGGTATTCATCTTTTGTCTTCACGGAACTTACCTTTGGAAATAATGAAGACTCCATCTGCAGACCTTGAATCTAAATTAACCTTCTCGAAAAATATCAAAGGCCAACAAATTTATGCGATGAGCGACTACATTATAATTTTTACAACCATCAGATCTATAATAACACACTAATTTTTACAACTACCAGATCTATAATTAAATTGTAATTTTTACAACTATCAGATCTATAATTAAATTGTAATTTTTACAACTATCAGATCTCTACTTACATTATAATTTTTACAAGTCTGAGATCTCTAATGTCAATGAAAAAAATAATTAAACGCCAGGAAATTGAATGACACTTCTGCACTGTATAGAATGTTGAGGCATTGAGAATGTTGACCTCCAAGTTGGCCTTGGCCTTCTCCGGAAGACCTGTACCCGACGTACCGATTGCGCGGTGAGGAGCTCAGGTGCACGGGCTACGTGGGGCGGTGACCGGGCCGCCCGGTGACTTACTTCAGGTGAAGTGAATGAGAACAGGGTCGAAGGGGGAGCTCAGACTTTACGTGTGATAGTGCGGATCGAAGGAGCGAATACAAGAACATGGAATCCAGCTGGGCGAAGCGGAGGTTTGATTCTATATCCTCGTTGTCAATTTCGACGCGGGCCCGTGTCCGGGCGATCCCTCCAGATCCATCATGTGCAGGCGCTTCTTTACTGATCGACTGTGGTAATGGAAGGTCTCTTGCTATTCGTTCATATCATTCACGCATCTCCATTTCTTGCCCAGGATTCCCACTGTCCATGCACACAGGACAGCCCGTCTTCGTTGTAATCTAGTCATTTTCGGATTTATTTGTGGATCGGTCGAGGGGGTTTTTCAAGAAATGGTGAAAGCCGCAGGAAAAAAGTTCGATCTTGCTGCACGGTCCTCCCTCGATGGGTTTGTTTCAGCGAGTTTCTAATAGAGAATTGCAAATTTCTATTGACTTCTGAATTTATTTTCGACCGAGGCATGTCAAAGCGACACACCTGACAACCTAGTTGTCAGGTGTGTCAATTTCGATTTGTTGTAATTGTCGGGGAGGCTATATTCCTATGATTCAAGAGGCGTGACTTGGGATGATGTGCAAACGAACCCTCTTCCTCTTCTGGGTGGATGTTTGTCGCGGATGGTTGACGAGCGAGAGCGAGAGGGCTTCTGTGGACTTTTGCTGGTTGAGTGACTTACCGTGAGCTGTATCGGGTGCAGTCTACTGGGTCAGTGGAGTTGACCAATGTGTTGCAACCATCGGAAGTATGTTCGGCCAACTGAGATCGCCACTGTGAATCTTATCGCGTGGCTCTCTGGTGGTTCTTTCAGCGCTTCTTGATGCGGTGAGCACTTTGAGGCTTACGAAGTGCTCGAAAAGGGTCTGAATTACGTCAGCAGGATCAGGGGTTCAGAACATGGTTAACTTGACAGAACGACTTCCTCAATAAAGAAGAAGAATCTTCTAATCTCCCTCAGATCTTTTCCAAATCCCCTGAACCCTAGTGGATGTGGGGTAGGATTTGGGACCTGCGTGATTAGTTTGACTCTGAAGACACGTATGATGAGTGTCATTCTGACTAGCCTCGATACCATACGGTATGGATTGTCTACTGCGTGTAGGATGTTCCCCGATGATAGAAGTTCCCGATAGTTTGATTGGTTTTAGGGTACGCCCGCGGTTTTCCATTTATTTGTTAGGTGAGGTTTAAGTCGTTGTTAAGTGACGGCATGTTCAGTTCAAAGAACAATTCTTCTCCATGATCGTACTCAAGAAAACTTTGTTTGAAGGTTTTCTCTTCCAAGCTTTCCAATAATTCATAGGAAGCATTTCAGCTTGTACACGTCTGATATAACTGCCTCTTGAATTGGTGTCAGATAGACCCCACTGTCATGCATTGAACGGCCTTGGACTTGCAAAATAAACCCGTTTCAAAGATGCTCCGCATATGAGCCTTCCCAACTTAGTTAAGTGATGACAACTTTTGTCTAGCATTTGTGTCTTAGATAGATTTACCTAGTTCATTACTGGGGAAAAGTTGTGATTACACCTCAACTATTGCGTGTGCTGCTATCTGTTCACAGTTTATATTATGGTGCTTTATGAAAAGACTTGATTAGAACCGCAAAAGAATGGAGGTGAATGCGCACGTGGAAGGCCGGCATTAGTGTGTGGGGTTAATCAACCCTTGATGATGAAGTCATCCAATTCAGAGCTTTTTATATTGCACACCGCTTAAGCAGGCAATGTACACTGTACCTAACTTTCCCTCGTTGTCTGGAGTGTCACATGAGCGCACACGAGTTTTTCCTATAGGTGGACAAGAGGCCAGCTCAATTCCACATATAGAATTCGATTGCGGTCTAGCAATCGAATAATCGACGGTCTCCAATCTTACTGTCCATTCTCGCCCAAGGGAAATAGACGCCATCACATGAGCATTATTATTGCAATTTTCATCTACAAGCATTATTTATTTTTGATCGAAAAAGGATCAGCAACTCTTATTTCATTTGGAAGAGCGTATTTGAAAAAGGATGAATTAGCGAATCCAGTGGAAAATTACACTCGTCCTCTCAACCCGTCGAGAGAACGAGGTTTAGGTCTCATTAGGTCTCGACAGGTCGAGCAGCGGAAAATCCTTGCACGCGAAGAGAAAGAGGCGAAGATGGAGAACAAAGCTTAACAAGCTTGAAGAAGCAGCGGCAGGCCTCCAGATTCAACTCCGGTTTCTCCAGACCCAGTCGGTGGGTCTAACTGCAGTACATTGTACGGTAGGTCCCTTCAAGGAATACAACTGTGTAATTCTCTAAATATATGCATTTCTTTAATTTGTTTTCTCAGCGCTTAGTCAGAGCAAGGGTTTGGCTTTAGGCAAACGATAACGGGAGCCAAACTCGACCATGACGCCGTACGCCATCCGCAGATCTTCTCTGCAGGAAACTACCGAGTCTAAGGCCAGTAGGCCCAGCGTCCGAGGTCCACTAGGTTCAGTTCCGAACTTCGGTTCTCGATGGACTGCACGAGAACGATAACGGTCCTCAGTACGGGGACTGATCTCATCATCCCTGGCAAAGGATCTCTCAGGGCCTCTACCAAAAGCCCGATTCGAGCAGAATCTACTACCGTCCCAAAAATGTACCTTCCGGTGACGCAGTCGAAGGACTATTGAGTATTGACGACGTTGTTGGTACGGGATCGGTAGCGGAATGGGTCGGGGCCATGAGGGTTGCTGGACTGCTGCTGGCCCCTACTCGGTCCCCGCGGATGCGAGCGCTTTGCTCCGCGGTTGACCACGTCACTCCCAACGGGCCATTCACGCGTCCGTGACTCAGCATTACGCTCCGTTTACCGCTTGTCTTGAATGTAAAAGAGACCGGGTAGGTCCTCGTCGCCCTTGGGAGCCTTGTGAAACATTCCCTTTATCCTTTCCGCCATTATTGCCCCGTAAAGATCATTTGGCAATTTGAACGAAAAGCGACAAGAGCGGCCATTGACAACATCCGACGAGCCCGAACGGTCCTTCGATCTGCGAATTTGAATCGGTGCCGGTGACTTACTTTTACTTTAACTTTCACCGGAGCACTCTGTAATGAGTTGATTTACCTATTTACTATGGTTTTACGGTGCGCGCGATGAAGAACGAGAGAATATACTTCGGGATGTGCGAAATCGACGACGGATGTTGGTCTCTCCCCACGTACGCAGTCCTTCGCGAGGTCGGGTTCTCTGTGTCCACTCGGATTGCGCGCGGTGCTGCAGTTTTCTCCACGAGCATACGCCATGCCCTCGAGCGATGTTCGACTGGGGTCAATTTGGAACAGTTGAAATGGGACTGATGCAAGTTGACATTCATCTGCACATGACAGGCATATGTCATTTCGCGGTCATTTCCGCCCAGTAAATGACATGCGATTTGAGGAAATCGAATGGAAGGTACGACTGGATTTAGGTTGGAATTGAAGGAGTGTGGAGGCGTACTTTTGCGCGTATATTATAGATTTTCTTCAACTGACTCGAAGTTCGTGATTGGAACCCGAACATGGCATGCTAACAAGAAACAGTTGTGTTCCAAAAGTGGGCAAATGTGAACTTTGCCAAGAATGTAACAACTTGTGAATGTACCGAAGTACAGGACAGGAAAGCCCGCAGGACATGTTAGCGCATAACAAACACATGAATAATCTCTCTCTGGGCTCCTCGAGCTCCAACAGGCGAAGTCATTAGGCCACAGAATCATGACCTGGCTCCCAAGATCAAGAAGCACTAGCAATCTAATACTGTACTGTCCTTGAAATCTTCATCTCGCTCTTGACGCGCTTCGGAGCCTTTGGTCAAACTTATTTCATATCAGCGATCCTCCGTCAGGAATATGTCACCTTTAAGTTCCCATGTGCTGAACCTGAGAGTGCAAAACCAGCACTTAATAATAGTGATGGACCGGAAAGCAGTTGGAGATTAATACCATAAACACGCACAAACTGAAATGTGTACGTCTTGCAATACTTGAAACAGAAGTGCGTTCTGTTTTGCATAATCTGTCTCGATCTGTTTTGAGAGTGTTCGAAGTCAAATAGAAAGAATATTTCTTTTTTGGCCTTGGTGTAAAAGCGATTGCCATTGATGAAAAGCAGAGGTTAAAAGGTCATGGTCGCAAATCAACTGGAGAATGCTTCAGCAAAGAACCTTCATCGCATTGCCTTGAAGCTTGTTTTTTCTGGACGTCGGGCACGCAGCGGACCAACGCTCGGACCATTAGTGTAGACCACAAATTCGAGTGCGATAATTCTCGAAACAACGACGCGAATGGATGTTCTTCGAGACGATGAGCATCGCACGGACCCACACCGGGTCTTGAACCGAGCCGGCCTTGGATCGGAGACTCGGAGCAGAGAGGCAGTCCAAGATGGAGGAGGAGTCGCACGCAGTCAGTCAGATCCAAGGATCGGACGGCTGCGAGGGCGGTGAGGGGCGGGGGCGTGCAGTACAGGCAGGCGGCGTGAGATGTGCAGCGGCAGACGTGCCGCCCGGGACTACGGTTGGAGGACGAGCCGAGATCCGTGTCACATTGGCAGGTCGGCTATTCTGGCCCCAGACCGCATCATCATGCCACTCGAGCTAGAGCTAGCTAGCCGAGCTGGCCGCTGCTACAAGGCCCCCACGTTCCCATGACATTCCCGGCGCTCCACGTTGATCGTCCTAACGAGAACTTCGCTCACAGCGTCGTCGTAGAGCAGAGAGGTCTGCGCGTTCACACCTGCTGAGGTTCGGCCCCTTTTCTCCTCCCGTCCGGCCAGCGTCCAATCTCACCATGGTCGCCCCTCCGTCTACGATGTCATTCGTTAACTCCGTCCTGATTCACAGCTGACCATAACCACGGTCTACCACAATCTCCGCCAAGGTTATGATCGACGCCGTTCTCAGTGTACTGTGTTTAGTCAAATCAAGCCAAGATGAGGACAGTTCCCGCGAAGCTCCCGCGAGATGGAGGTTCCCGCCACATCCGATCTTATTCAAACAGGGGAGCTTGTTCGACTGAGCGGCGCGCCATGGCGGATGCTCGCAGATAAGAAAGGACTGCTCGATCGAAGCTCAAATTTTGATTAGTGAGATCGTATTCCTCTCGAATCGCAGGATTCTGTGATTTCGTTCTCTCTCTGTAACTCCGGCCGTCCAGTTGTAGAATGAAGATGTGGTTTGAGGAATTTGATATTTCGGGATGTAAAAATTCTGAACAATAATTCTGCTGTCGAAGAATTGCTGAGGTTTACCCGGCTCTTTACCGTGTTTGACACCCTAGAGAATGAGGACAGGGGCTGATGTTTCTCTCGCATGTTGATGAGTTGGAACGAGGATGTGTGAATAATGCTATTTTGAATGGAGTTTTGCGGTGCTCCTCTGACTTCAACAAGTCTGAAGAACGGATGATGACTGGTTGGAGTGTTATGTCACCTCTGTGACAATTCAAAGTCTGTTACATCAACGATAGTGATTTCGGTTAGCGGAGAGTATAATCAGAAGACACAATTGCATCGAAAAACCTGAATCGAATGAATTTTGAACTTCAGCACGTTGTGTTCTTCAGAAAAGCCCAAGGATTTCTCTAATTGCGCTGTCGAGGTGTTGCTGGAGAATTTGAAGGCTCGATAGTATTCTCAAGAAGCAGCTAGATCCACGAAGGACTTGTTGCGCTCCGTGGGCTTGAGATCTACGATTTATGGACAATGGGAGGACAAATTGATTGACTTCCGTTCTACCAATACAAAGTCGTCATGGGGAGAAATCAGAATTTTCAAGCAGAACAAGATGATTCGGCGTTCGTGATGGACGAAAAGGACCAGCTGCTATGCTTGCACTTTTTGAGAACGTTCTACAGCGTAGAATTGGAGGAAATCCTTCGTGCCATTGACGAATCTATGTATTATCCACTTCCAATTGAGTGAGTAGCAGCGTACCTTACACTAACAGATTCAGCTTGGTTTGAACATTGTTTACATGTACTTTGAAGTCGGACTAAGCTCTGTGTCCTTGGTACTCAAAATATGAGTCGAGTTTGGAAGTACAAGCTTGTCGCATCAAAGTCAATCAAGTAAAGTGACGACGATCCCGACAACACGGTAGCAGTTATGAGTTTTATTGTAAGCCCACTGTCGGGATACAATCTTGTACGGGTGCAAGGCAATGAATTTTAATGCTAAAGCCCTGCGTTCTCTGTTTTCAGAGCTTCTGACTTCTACAACGCATGTCCCCACCTGGGATATTACCTCTATCACTCTCCTACTAAGCTCTTCCGAACATTGGATATTGTAGCCAGCGAGGCCCAGGTACGCAAATTTACATCATCAGAGCAAGCCGGTCATGCACCTACCTTGACTACGATAACAGTGTCGCTTTTCTACCTTGTAAGCTCTAGGGTCACTACCTTGTCTGACATTTTCTCCTGTGTTTCCAGAAAGTAATTTATGATGGACAAAAGCACAAGAAGAACTTGTCGCTGAAGAACGTTCATGTACGCGTATCAGTCCAAGGATCTGCGCTTGACTGTCCAGGTGCGGATATAAGTGATAATCCTTACAGGCGTTTCCGAGAAGAAACATAATTGGATTCTTCTGTGTTCGAATCATTTTCTGACTGGATCTATGACATCCTGTTGGAACTATCATAAAATGCCTCTCGCTTAGGTTTTGTTGAATCTAGGTGCAAGACTGTGTTTGCAGCTTTTGCACATGTCTACGACATGCAATCCTAAGGACCTCACAGGTGCCCAGAAAAAATCTGGCCTAAACCCCAGTCCCTTACAGCTGCCTGCTCAAACCGCATCTCGTCGGTGCGGAATTGGCTTAGAATTAAAACTGGCTCCATCCGAGCTAAGCTTTCATTCAGATTCAGAGCCGGCCATCAAGTTGATAGTTTGATATCGTTTATGACCGCTTTGAGCTTTCGTAATGACTCATTTTGAAAACCCCGACTGTTGCAGAACTTCATCCGAGTATAAGTCAAATTCGAGTCAAGGATTTGGGACACTTGTTGACCATCCATGGAACGGTCATACGTTCTGGTGCTGTCAAAATGCTGCAAGGGGAACGTACTTATAGATGCACCAAGTGCAAGCACAGGTTCGTAGTTTTTTCATCGATGAACTCAGCTCAGATTCACAAATTTGCTTATAGTGTCTGAGGTGTCTTACATCTGCTTGGTCAAAAGAAAAGAGGACGGCTTTTTGCAGGGTAGGCGAAGGAGACCATGTACTGAAACCAAACACGGAGTTGAGACGTTTGTTCTTTCAAGTTTTTTTTACTCTTGTATCCAGTCTAATTCAGTTCGTATACGGTGTTCTACATGTTTAGTTTCCAGGTGTTTTCAGATCTCGAGATGGGCAACTCCTTCCCCTTGCCATCATCATGCCCCTCTCAGGTTGTCCTTAAACTGAACAGCACAGTCTTGTTGTGGATAGAATCAACCTGCAAAGATCTTTCTGAAGTATTATACCCATGTGGGTTGGTGTGAAAATTGAAGTCGGTATACTTTACAAAATGGCAATCAGATTGAAACACTGATGCACGTTCTCTGAGTCCATGTACATAACGGTAGATCTGACATTCCTAGCAGATTTTTGTGTACTCAACGAAGTTCACTCGAATCTGACTCTTCTGTTTGTAATATGCAGCGAACTGATCCTTGTGGGGGTCAGAAATTTGTACACGTCGAAGACTCCGAAAAATGCCACGACTATCAAGAGATCAAGGTCCAGGAGAGCATGCAGGCTCTTGGTGTTGGTTCAGTACCACGATCTATAGTAGTTGTCCTTGACGATGACCTTGTGGACACTGTGCAAGCTGGTGGTGAGTAGCTTTAGCATCTCCTCATGTTTTTTTGTCTACACCCTCCACATGTTTGTACTCTGATTGTTGTTGTAACCTTACCTTCTGTTTTCAGCCCAGAGCAGGACAATGCTTACATACATCTAAAAACTCACTTGTTGATCCCAGTCTTTAAGTCCTCTCTTCTTAATTCTACATTTGTCTCCCCCAAGGTTGGCAGATGACATCGTAGTAACAGGCGTACTGTTTGCCAAGTGGAAGCCCCTCGTGAAGGACCTTCGCTGTGATCTGGTTTTGATGTTGCGAGCGAATTTTATCAGGTAACTCAAACTCAATTGAACTCGTCCAATTAAAGTTGACACTACTGTCAAGCGAAGATTGAGGTGCCCACGTCTGCTTTCATTTTGGAACAGAAAGCTACAATCCTCATTTTGTTGTGAATTTTCTTTGGCTTCGAGGGTAATTCATAGATAACATGCGGGAATACACTCAATGCTTTTGTTGTTTTAATCCTTAATGATGTCAGGAGGACAAATAAGCTCACATCCACTGTCAACATAACGGAGTATGACGTTGAACAGTTTGAGCGGTTCTGGGACGAGTATAAGAACTGCCCTCTGAAAGGTACAAACTTATATATGAAAGATATTCTCCTCGTTACAATCAGGAGATAAAAGGGAACAGCTACTTGTGATGTTCATTTCTGTCATGAAATCGAAGAAAGAGCCCAATGGGCTGCAGGAATAAGAAATTTGACATTGTGAGGCTGTCGAATCCGCAGGGAGGAATGAAATCTTGCAGGGCATTTGCCCGCAAGTCTACGGTCTCTTCACTGTGAAGCTAGCAGGTTTGTTGATTCAAACAGTCGAACTCTCTATATCTCTTGTCACCTGCTGTTGGAATTGTACTCGCCATTATCTATATAAGGGACTCGTGAAGTCTGCAGCTCTTAATCAGGGCATGAGTTACTTACAACCGTGCGGATTTAAGTGATTGTACACAAATTTCCTGAATATCAACATTGTCCGTGCTGTCAGTTGCACTCACCCTCATAGGTGGAGTTCAGCACATCAACGATTCTGGGGCGAGGGTGCGCGGCGAATCCCATCTGTTGCTTGTTGGTGATCCAGGTCTGCTGCCGAACCTTCTGTGTGCTGAATTGGTTCCCAATTTGTATAGAAAAAATCTTTCCAATTTGCGTGCGCCGTAGGCCGCTTCTAGGGGCTAAGGCTCTCGCCTAGAATCAGACTTGGATGGTTTGATGTTTGGCTTTGTTGCCTGGCAAGGGCCACAGACCATGGTATGCCAAGTAATTCTGGTCAGTGTGTAAATGTTCTCTCCATTTCCTCCGTCATGCTCGTGAAATCAACGAAGGAATTAGTAATTACCGGCGGACGTTTACCGGCGGACCCTACATTCCGTCGTACGGATTATATCTTACGATCTGCAAGCAGAAATACTGATTATTAGTTCAATGGGTGCGTCTAAATCTTTGGAACGCCTGTAAACCTAACATACACTAAGCAATTAGTAAGTTCCGGCGGACGGATTCCGGTGGGCCGTACATTCCGTCGTACGGATTATGTCTTACGATCTGCAAGCAGAAAGACTAATTATTAATTTAACGGGGGCTTCTAAATCTTTGGAGCGCCTGTAAATCTAACACAAATAGAGTAAATCACTAATGTACGTTAGACTGATCGCGCGGCAGTCGCGAGTGTACTCTAAAGTGTATAAAAGGGGATGCGCTAGAAGGAGGGGTCGAACCTCCGACCTTGTGGTTAACAGCCACACGCTCTAACCAACTGAGCTATTCCAGCTCGGTTGCACAGAGAGTGACGCATACTGGCCATGTAGGGCTTAGTCGATTTGGCACACACCTTCCTAGTACATGAGCACCCTTTCTTCTTTTCTATCCCATGTTTTTTGGCCAAATTGTATGCCCCGCATTCAGACTAAAAGTCGAGAGTGTATCTACCAGGTACCGGAAAATCACAATTTTTGAAGTATGCCGTGAAACTGAGTCACCGAGCAGTCTTGACAACCGGGCTCGGGAGTACAAGTGCAGGGCTCACAGTTACGGCAATTAAGGACGGGGGTGAGCTCTTCTGCTCCGTTGACATTGGTCGTTTAATTTTGTTTAGTTCTGGCCTTTGAACTCTATTGACCACCCTGATGTTTGGTCCATAGGTGAGTGGATGCTAGAAGCTGGGGCCCTAGTTCTAGCCGATGGAGGTCTGTGCTGTATCGACGAATTTGACAGGTATTAAGACCCGTTTACTAGGAGCCAATACGTTCATCGTCGAGACTCTAGTTTTCACATTCATCAGATAGGTGAATGCAAGCTATTTTATTTTGTAGATTCAGTTTGTTGATGGTGAGTATTTGGCGGAGAACGTCCTTTGTCTTCATCTGTATCAGCTTACATCTAGAGATTTAAACTTGGATGACTTTTATCTTCTAACAGTATCCGAGAGGCAGACAGAGCCACAATACACGAAGCCATGGAGCAACAAACGATCAGTGTAGCTAAGGTACAAATGCTTCCGATCTTTGTTGCCTATGGAAGCTCTTAAGTGGGCAATCTAGACGCTCGTCTTTCTCCTTGTTTACTACTACATTGACAGTCGCAAAGATCCCTTGGTTCTTATAGCGATTTCAAATGCTGCAATGAACTCTCGGAACTAAAATTGACACTTTTGGGGTCAGGCAGGGCTAGTACGGACTCTGAATACAAGGAGCACTGTCTTTGGTGTCACCAACCCCAAAGGACAATACGATCCATACCAATGTACGTATCTGTTCACCCACGTCTCGTCGTAATGTAGACGTGATATTATGCCTTGCATCAAGCTTGGGATGGCACTCCCTAGTTAATCCGCCCAAATGATGTACTGCCCACTAGTTTGATAATCTGTCCCTCTGTCTATTGCACCTTGTGCCAGTCATATATGAATTTAGTGCTATGCTAGTGTGGTCTACAGAAGTGCCTTTCTATATTGTGATCGACTTTTTTCCTTTGCGTGGCAAGTTCGAAAGTGCTCTCTTTTGTCAAGCGCAACATTACCGTTTAGTCGTGGTATGCGTCGTGAGGCTACGTCTTGAAGTAGGGTTCAGTTCAGTTCTAATGATTTCTCACGCCTTTGCAGCTTTAAGTGTGAATACGACATTATCAGCCCCTCTGCTGAGCCGTTTCGATATTGTTCTAGTCCTTTTGGATACGAAGAATCCGGAGTGGGACAATATAGTTTCAAATCATATTCTCGAAGAGGTAAGTCCACGTCTCGTCTATGGCTTTGCTTGGTCAGGGTTTTTGTCTCAAGCCCGATGACAAGTCTAGCGATTGTGGGTATTAATTTCTAACCTCCTTGCGCAGCATACGAAATCCCAACAGTCCAAAAAAGAACGGAGCAGTATATGGACGTTGAACATGCTTAGAAGGTAAGAATAAGCTTTGTGCCTTTTATCGAATGTGCAAACTATTATCAGAAATTACTCTCTAGTGTTCCACGAGAATTATATCATATCATATGAATCGACCCATGTTCGTTTTCTTCGTCTGCAGCTACATGCTTTACGTCAGAACGGAGTTTAAACCTGTTTTGACCCATGACGCCGAGAAAGTTATTATGAGTTACTATCAACTTCAGCGAAGATCGGGCCACGAAAATGCAGGTTTGGGCCTAGATATTCACTAGATAGTCAGTGTGAAACTCTGATTGAATGTCTGCAAGATATGACAGGAGTCACTGAATAATGAACCTAGATATTCGCGATGTCTTTTCGTTGCATGTACATTATCAGTATTTTGCATGATATGGACATCGAGGGGCGGTGGCGCAGTTGGTTAGCGCGTCGGTCTCATAGCTCACCGAGAAATCCGGAGGTCGAGAGTTCGAGCCTCTCTCGCCCCACCTTTTAGCAAATAAGTTGACTTGCACGTTCATCAATGTTTGTTGACTATTGTTTTTCTCGTTCATGGAGATTGTTGTTGACCATTGTTTTTTCCTCGTGAACACACTGACACTGTCGATACCTGATTTTCCGTTTTACCAGCCAGAACAACGATACGAATGCTCGAGAGTTTGATCAGACTCGCACAAGGTGAGACTTTTCCGCTTTGCTAACACCGTAGAGATAGCGCCCATAATTCGAGCACTCCCTGATGGCTACCTGAAGAATCATGAGCTCCCCAATTTTACGTTCTTAAACTTTAGTTGCTGCTGTGTGAAATTTGTTGGACAGTCGAAAGAGTCAACGGGTTCGTTCTTGTCTTGTTTCCCATTCCGACCTATCGAGGATGGGCCGAGATTGAACTTGTTTCAAGTTAGCCTATTTATGGCATTTGATGGTTCCTTTCTGTGTAGAAGATCGGGAGTTGCTACGAACATTTTAGTCCCTTGCTGTGAAATCGGATGCTCTCTTGTCTACTGACGTAATCGTCTCTGTCGATCTTTGGTGACCAGCGCACGCCAGGCTTATGTTCCGTAACGAAGTGCTGCGAACAGATGCGATAGCCGCAGTCATCTGCGTCGAGTCGTCCATGACCCAAACCGCCATTCTGCAGAACGTCGGCAACGCTCTCCACTCCAGTTTCGCTGAGAATCCTGACGACGAATGTATCCTTGCTCAAATGCCGATGTTTACACCACGTCATTCCAGTTAGTGTTTCAAAGGTATCTATATAAATGACACTGTGTAGAGAGTACTTGTTCCTTCTGAGCTCGTTCCGTCTCATGCCTTGGAAGTCCTTAATACTGAGTGACAGATGCTAAACAGGAGCAAATTATTCTTGCTGCCCTGAAGCTGGATGACATGGGAGAACCTCGCAGGCCAACATCGCCTCCAGGTTCCAGAGGCAAAGGCGACTATGCGACAACAGAAGACGGCCCGGATTCCGATGCGCGAAGGCTTGCTTCTGCAGGTGGGTTGAGCAATGCTCGGGAAAACGACGACTCGGATGCGGAAGACCGAGTCTGCCAAGGGTCTGCAGCTCTGAAGAGAAAGCACGCAGCTGTCGATGATAACCCTCTGTCACCAATTTCGGAGCGGGTTGTCCCTCAGCAGCCTGCAGTACGTAATCACTCTGCGCGGAAACCTCCCAAACACCCGAAAAGGGTCGAATCAGACAAGGGTCGCTTAGCGAGATTGACCCAAAATGTTTTGGCGAAGCTCAAGAGCCAGCCTTGTCCAAGTGCTGCTCCTGCTCCTGGCGAACAGTCAGCAAGAAACACATCTCAGCAGCTCACAGAAGACCTCATCCTCTCGAGCCAGTATAGTTTGCCTTGAATGCGGGGAATTACAAGGTGCTCCTGACCATCCGCGACAACGGGCTGGCAAGCTGTGAGTACCGAGCTGTACAACAATTTTGTTCCTTCAAGAAGAGGTTTCTTAGACTAGACGGGTCCGATGTATACATAGCTTTCCAGCAAAACTCCAACCCTAGTAATCGTTACCACCCCCACGAGTGGATTCTTTCTTGTTAGACCCGGAAGAGCACAGAACTATGTCCAGCTTGAGTGATCATATTAATTCCAGGGGTGACCGTGGAGGAATATACTTTGGGTTGCTTGTGCTCTAACTACGACCCAAAGTCGACAGTTTGATGTCTAGATCCTTTGGTATCCATTTTAGCACGGAGTGTGAAGCATGCTCGAAATGGCATTTCATGTCTCCACTCCCCGCTATCTCATCTGCACGACTTCCATCTATCTCATCCGTTGTTTAGGTGTCAATCTATACATCTGTCAAATTCGAATAGCGAATTACAAATCTGAACGAGAAGCCGACGAGACGCGTGTGATATTTGCCTGATGAGACCCGAGGGACATTGGAACCGAGTGAGCACACAGGCATCCGGAAATTCTGAAGAACCCAAGGGAAACAGCTGACTTTCGCTTGTCACCAGTAAATAAAGGCAGAAAGGTTAAACGTCTCGAATTTGGACGGCATGGAATGACTGAAGAGGATGCATTCCTGACAGCCCACTTCATCAGTACTCCAAGTGGTAGGGATGTCTCACGTACGGTGTCTATCATTACTTGTGTTGGGACATGATGCAGACAGTGCGGACAATCGTGGTCTGACCTTCATTTACTTCGGCCAAGTTTACTAAATCCAGGATACCCAGCACAGGGTTTATATGCTCAGATCGGTAGTCCACTATGTGCTGACAAAATCGGGCCCGCCTATGTCACACGTTGTACACGCACACATCTTCTCTCGCCCCTTCCCGTTTCTAATGTTCCCCGATGAATGGCTGGTTAGCAATCTGACCTAATTTGTGACACGGTGTGGGGGAGGTGGCGGAGCTTGGGTGCTTCAGCCGTGAATGCATGACTGATGTGGCTTTGGACTGATGGCATAAGTCTGTCTTAACTTTATCTCGTTTAGGGTTTAGAATCACAGCTGAATTCGTCTTCTCCGGTTGAAATATAATGCTATCAGAGATTGCACGTGTTCCTGTACACTGAAAAATTTGTGTGAAAGTTGTCTCATTGCTAAGATTGCAAAAGGCCACATCATGTACAAGCATGTGCGTGCACAATCCCCAGAAATTCAACGCCGTTGTAATGCACAAATGCTACTCCTGAGCCGAACTGATTGCCTGCTGCAGATGCAATCTTCACGCCCAGAGGTGTACACTTAGCGTAGAATGATATATCAAGATCTCTCTCGCTCGCCCAATTACCCTCTACAACATTTCTTCAAATATGTCGTCAGTTATGTCTGGAGAAAAATTCTGGTCTAGAAAGGGGTATTTGCTTTGCTCATATTTCCCATGCTTTCAGAGCGGCCGTCCCCATCGATCCATTCACAGTCGAAGTCGGACAATGGGCTGAGTATTTAGACAAATGTCAAAGACAAAGGTCTTGAAATTCAGTTGACATCGATGAGAATTCATACTATCTCCGATGTGCCCACCGTACACATCGACCTCTTTGCACTTGAAAAGCAATCTGATCAGCGTGCCGATCTTTTTCAAGTTTCACACACCGATGGCCTCCCCTGTTTCACTGACAGCCGGTCGACGGCCAGCTGCAAACAATGGGCCCCTTGTAAATCAAGTCTCCATACTCTGGGAACCCTTTACAGAGAGCGATCGACAAGGATGCAGCTGCCGGCAACTACCAAAGACCCGAACGGATGGTGGACGGCTGTATTCCAGGGCGCTCACCTGCTCGAAGACCTGAACGACTTGGATCTGATCCACGCACAGGTCCCGAACGGACGGAGGGAAGGGAGGGGAGGGATCGATGACTTCGAAGGAAGAGATCTGGGTTGCCTTCAAAGTCGTCGTTGGGCGTCTTGGCGGTTGATGATGAGAGAGAGAACCACCATTGCGAAGCTGTACAGGGACGCCATGCCATGCTCGCCACCTGGCCATCGCTAGTGACCAAGTTTCGGTGAGCACGTGCAAGGCTTCCAATCCGAAGCCTCCTGATTACCCCTTCTCGTTTACATATCGCTTATTGCAGGGGAGCATCGATCTTTGATATCGGATTGGGTTTAGAAGATAGGTTGATGCATATCTACCGATATTCATCAACCTACCTTTCAATATCGGTAGTTATTCCTCCTCCCACTCATCATATCCTCGTTGACTCCATCCTCCACCTTTCAGATATGGCACATGTTTGTTTTGGACGTGCTGGGGAAACTTTATGTGAAGGGAGTCTTAGGTGCCTTCACGACGTGGGTCATTGAAATGGAGAATATATTTTTGATGTTGCGGGTATGGAAAAGGAGGCAAAGATTTACTTTGCATCGAGCAAGTGTGATGGCATAGCACAAGCATGGTACGCTACTGGTAAATAAGAGAAGAAGGATGAGGGTTGGGACCTTTTGCTACATTGAGCAATGTTTAAAGAGAGTTGAAGCTTAGACTCGTACCAAGCAATGATCCATCGATTTGGATTAGTCTGCTGTTTGCATTGGCATGATAAAGAAAGGATATATCACCAAGTTTTCGTATCTCTTGTGGGAAGGACTTGACTTTGGAGAAGAGCTGTTTATTTCTTGTAATGATTTTCTGTATGGCTACACATACATTTTGAAGCTTAAAAAGATCATTTGGATCATACGTTTCATCGAATTGAGAGCTTTGAAGCTATGCATGTGTGTAACCATCTTTAGTTAGTTATAACTAAAGTAGAGGTTACTCTGAATATTGATGTAGATACTTTAGTGTGCACTAGTCATAGCTGCCACGTCAGCAATCCGCGCACTTGGTAGGTACAGAGTGGATGTGTTAGTTGACAGTGCCACGTCAGCAATCCGCGTGCTTGTAGGTAAAGATTGAGTGTGTTAGTTGGATGCGCCACGTCAGCGATCCATGTGATTGTTAGGGTTATCCGCCACGTCATCCATCCACTAGGAGTGGGATGGATAGTGGGGATTAGATCTTATCACCTTGCACTTGTTGGTGAGAGCTATATAAGGGAGAGGAGAACCATTGTTGGTATCTCTCATCTTCAGAGTTTACGTTTCTATCTTCGAATGAACTTCTCTCTAAACCCTAGTGTTACAATGATATCAGAGCGACCTTGCTCTTTCCTTGAGTGTGAATTACCCCTCATGAAATAGCAAGTGAGTGATGATGGAGTGTAGTCTTGAGAGTGTATAGAGGCTGGCAGAGGTCATTCATATGCATGTAGAGAGAGGTGGTGTAACCATCTTTAGTTAGAACTAAAGTAGAGGTTACTCTGAATATGGTTGTAGATACTTTAGTGTGCACTAGTCATAGCTGCCACATCAGCAATCCGCGCACTTGGTAGGTACAGAGTGGATGTGTTAGTTGACAGTGCCACGTCAGCAATCCGTGTGCTTGTAGGTAAGGATTGAGTGTGTTAGTTAGTGTGTTAGTTGGGTGCGCCACGTCAGCAATCCGTGTGCTTGTTAGGGTTATCCGCCACGTCATCCATCCACTAGGAGTGGGATGGATGGTGGGGATTAGATCTTATCACCTTGTACTTGTTGGTGAGAGCTATATAAGGGAGAGGAGAACCATTGTTGGTATCTCCCATCTTCAGAGTTTACGTTTCTATCTTCGAGTGAACTTCTCTCTAAATCCTAGTGTTACAATGGTATCAGAGCGACCTTGCTCTTTCCTTGAGTGTGGATTACCCCTCATGGAATAGCAAGTGAGTGATGATGGAGTGTAGTCTTGAGAGTGTATAGAGGCTGGCAGAGGTCATTCATCTGCATGTAGAGAGAGGTGGAAGGGGGAAATTGTGTTTTTGCAGATATGGACGGGATTGACAGGAATCCAGTACTGCACTGGCCAATTCCTAACCTATTCGATATTCACCTTCGTTGCATGGAGAAACATCATTTTCGGATGTACCTTGTGGCTTGTTGGGGTGCAGATTTTATGACTAGAGTGATGGAGTCAAGAGTGCCACTGATTCTTCCAATAGTTACTTATGGAGAGACTTGGGATTGTACTATATACATTCTATACTGATTGTTTCATGGATTTGAATCGCGAACCACCTGTCCCGGTTCGATTCAGCACTTATGTAGAGATTAGAACAGTATATAGACAGAAGAGGATATGGAGAGATTTTCTTGTGAGGAATTATGGAGAGTAGTACTATAGAGCTGTGATAGAGTCACCTGCACCTTTTGTGACTCCTTTGTTGAGAGGTCACATAGTGATTATACTCACTTTGTATTAGAGGGATTGTGAGAAAGCATGGGAACATCAATTGATATGGGTGAGGTTCTCAATGCAATCATGGCGGAGATGAAGGAGTTGAGAAAAGCAATAGTAGATGGGCATACCAAGCAGCAAGCCATGGAAGATAAAATCTTCGCATTAGAGAGTGAGAAAGTAGAGAGAGAGTTGGAGAGATGGAAGTTGAACCCCAAGTTCAAGCTTCCCAAGTTCAGCCAGAACCAACTCGTATTGATGCAGCAGAGGCAAATAGGAGCAATTCGAAGCAAATCTTTTGCTTCGAATGGGAAAATCCTATAAGGTGGAAGCTTACAAAGGGAGTAGAGCAATGGGAGTGTTAGAGGGATGGATTATGAGGATGAATATTCATTTATCCCATTTTCATGTTTCTGATTATATTGCAGGAATGTTCATGAGATCTTATCTTACGGATAAGGCTCTCACATGGTACACAACATGGGAGAGAATGCTTTCAGAACGAGGTGCTACCATTTCGTGGAATGGAATGCAAGAAGGACTTCTGCAAAATTTTCAAGCGGTGGATTCTCTTCAAACTGCAAGAATGAAGTTGTGGGATCTGAAGCAGAAAGGAGGTATTCATGAGTACATTGAAGAATTTCGTGATCTTCAAGTATCTATCATGGATATGAGTGGAGCTGAAGCCTTGGACGTGTTCAAACGAGGCTTGAAAGATTGAATTCGAAAGGAGGTGATGGTAAACAATCCATCTACTGTGAATGAAGCAATCGCAATTGCTCAACGAATTTCGGGTGCTTTTGGTGTCACACACGGTGAACCAGTGAGCAATTTTAGGGATCCATCTGGTCCAACACCGATGGAGTTGGGAAACCTTCGACGTAGAGAAGGTTTTGCACCAACAAGAGGACCACCACCAAGATTTGGAGGTGAGATTAGGCGACCAGGAGTTCCAAATTTGCAAGAAGGTTATGCAAATAATGGAATGGTTCGAGGAGGAGCTGGAGTTCGTGACAATCGCCAATGCAATGCATGTGGACGAATGGGTCACATAGCCAAGTTTTGTCGAGTTTGGCCGACACAACAAGGAGGACGGCCCATGCAGCGACGACCGTTCAACAATATGGAGGGGATAGAGTATGAAGAGGTGGAGGAAGCAGTTTCGGGAAACGAAGATCATCAATAATCTTGCCTCGCGGCCTTACTGGTTCTACAAAGCGAAGAAAAGGCGAGGTTGGAAGAAGGCAATGGTTGGGAGCTCATGGAAGGAGTAAGAAGCAAGCT